AATATTCAATATTCATAATACTTAATAGTGTCTAGTATTATATATATTTATATCTATATTAGATGATAAAATGTATAAATGTTAAATAATATTTATCTGTATATAATATATATATTTATTATTACCGTTTTTCATATTTTGGCGAATGTGATAACGACTCTATAGGTAGGTACTTATTATATTATTTGCATAGATATCTAAAGACTACACGACTTTACGTTTTGATATATCATTGCCAAATTTAGAAAACTGAATAATCTTAACTTTTATCATTTTGATTTTAAGTGGTGTATCCTCTACCTCAGGGTGGTTGTTAGTTTAGTACGTACACGAAATGCAATTTAACATGCACCGTTGTTACTTATTACAATGATTGTTGTCCAGTAATAATCATTTATCCACAACACTACTATTAAACTGTCTTTTAAGTAATATTATTTTGTGAATGCTTTTAGTATTCGAGAAAACTATTAAACATTACACTGTTTTAATAGTTTACAAACATTGTTGCTATGCTTCACTATTTTAACCAAGGAGTATCAAATTTATAACTACTATCAGTGTCGTGATTTCAGCGTTTGTACGTGTAGGTAAAACATGATATATTATGGGATAGATAAAGATGAATTCTAGATTGTGAGTTGTGACAATAGTATGAAATAAAATACACCATTGTTTAACTTTTTCTGATCTAAATCTTAGAGATATAAAGTCATGCAATCTAAAACTGAACACATATATAACTCGTGACCAAGGAACTTTAATATAAATCGAATTCTCAACAAAAATGTTTGTGTTACATTTCAATGTATATTAGAAGAATTTTATTTTAAAACTACGATTTTTAATTTTTTACTTCCGCCAATCGATACTTTTTAAATCTATTCTAAAACAATAAGTGTTTACTCGTATATTACAAAAACAAACAACCAATAAAAATATACAGACAAGAATCAGACACTCAGCAAAGTCTTGGCGCTATGGAAAATGTAAACATAACTTGTTTAGCAGTTAATTTGATGTACAAGTTTTGTGTACTAGTCACGCTTCCTTGTGTTTATATGCGTATCTATTTGATTTTAATTACTTTTCACTATATTCTAGTGCATCGTGCATTAGACAGTTGATTTAGTGTTGAGAAATATGAGTGTTCGTGCAAACTATCATTATTGTTGCTGATGGAGTAAAATGTTTGACAAATTCTGAAGGCTCTTCAAATATTTATGTCATAGAACTATCAAACTAAGTAAAGATGGATTAATTGTTTCGTTAACGTTGCTAAATAATGTTGATATTTACATAAATGATGAATTAATAATTGTTTTATGGTTCAAAAAATACATTTAAATCGTGTATAATATTGTATAAAGTTTTTATTTATTGATTTTAAAATTTAAATATTTATTTTTTTAATGTTTCAACACGTCATCACATGTTACTACAAATAAATTTTGTTTATGATATAAAATAAAATTAACGATAACTATAACAACAGATGATATGATATTGTGATGTAAGGATTAAGAATGAAATACATACCTATTATATTATCTGAATCAAGCGTATTTTATATTCACTTTGTTTATTTAAAATTTAACCATATTTGCACATATTATATATAATATCAATAATTTATTCTTAAGGTAAAGTAGAAAAAAAACCGATTAAAATGAAAGAACCGTACAAACAAACATAAATATTTTTATACAACTCAATATAGATGATGGATACTAAGACACGATTTTTAACACATTTTTTCATGAACCTGCATGCATACATACATAGTGTGATAAATTAACTGAAATATTTTATTTAAAATAGATATTGTTCTAAAATTACTATTATATTAATTTGAAAATTCAATATTTTCCTTAACATTATAATCGTTAAATCACTGATCGAACACTTAACGTAGGTAAGACGATTATGTTACGATAAATATCATATCAATGATGTTGTCTGGACTTCTTTATAGTTCAAAATATATTATTTTAATGTATTATGAAATTAAATAGGTTGTTTACTTATAGATAATGAACAATTTTTTATATATTTTATTCATATATTAATATGGATTAAATAACAACCCGAAGACGAAATATTTGACTACAATGTTCAAAACCAAGTAATGAAGAATAGCTAAGACTTGAATTGAAAAACAAACAACAATAAAAAATTGTGGCACAGAGCTTTCGAGCATCTTAGTTTTTATAATTTAATATTTCAATACAACAATATTACTGCATATATTATTATAATCATAATATTAATGGGCAATTAATTATTTAAAATTTAAAAAGAAATAGAAATATATTTTTAGGAAAAAACCTAAATAATTTATACAATTTATCACAAAACAAAAATAACTAATTTACAATTTAAATAGTAAACACATAATTTTTCATTACTTTTAAATTTGGAAAAATGTAATTTAATGTAATGTACAAGGTATACTGACAAATAAATTATTAAAAACAAACAATTATTAAAAATATTATTACAGGTCTATTGCCTAATACGTTATAGCCTTATAGGTACCTACAAGTTTTCAATTCTGAGTATAAATGGTAATTAGTTATGCTTAAAGTGCCCTTAAAGATTAGACCACAGTAACTATAAATTGATGAGTTCCCGTTTTAATACTTTGTGTGAAGTCAAGTATAGAAAAGGTTATCCTGCGTTCTACGATAATAGGACCACAAACTGTAGACTAACTAGTTATTAATGCCACGTATTCTTACATCATCGAACACAGTAATTATACCAAACAATCTGTATTACTAATGAATTATAACCATGGGTAAATATGTACGTTTTCCATCCAATGAATAGAATTATGAGTCATCGGATCAACAATCATTGTGTTGTTCGGTTGATCAGATTGATGAACATTTTAAATGCGGATGGATACTATTATTTGTGTTAGTTTTGAACTTTAACTACATTATATTCACTACACGAATTTTGCATGATAAGTACTCTTAACAGATACTTCAATTTGATCTACTCGAATTTCGTATGACTATAATTGTTCCTAACTTTTAGAAAGCTTATATTTACCAAAAAAACACAATAAAATTATTTAACGAATTACAGATTCACAAACTACTTATTACAAGCTGAAGTTTATCTAATTAATTATAGTAGGTACGCTGAAGATAGTAATATGGAAATAATACACTCAAAATATATAAGTACATTTTTTTTCTGATCATCCATTAGATTATTGTTAATTTTTCTATACAGAAAAATTAAAAAAAAAAAAAACATAGTATAATTGTTATCAAGCACAAATTATAATATTATGTTTCTGTGGTATTTTTATAATACGTGGGTTTTATTGTAACAATAATAACTTGTAATAAGTAATAGTAATAGTACTAATAATTAGTGAAAAGAATTATTTTTGGTATTATTTTTTGTTTTTTAAGGAAATTAAATGAGAAGGTATAAATTGTTTAGTCACTTTTTTCCGTCGACAATACCTTTGAAAATCGTACCGGAAAAATACTATAAATAGCATTATTTGATGGAAAACTAATCATGTCTAAAAAACATAAAATTCAAACTATATCTTTCAAGCATTACTAAAATTGCCAGATGTGAGCCAAACGAATCGTTTTCGTTAGTTCATCTCCCTTCTTTGAAGTACATTTTACTTGATTGTGTTTGAACTTTCGGGAGAATAAAATAGCCTATTTTTTGATACAAACGAAGAACTTAAATAATATATTTAAATTGAAACTTGTTAATTACATTTAAACTTTCGTTTTCTAATTACATAATTTTCGTGTTTGAAATTTGGAAATATTAATAGTATTATTTAACTTAAAATTATATTGATCACGGGAAAATACAAATGTATTGTGTTAATATATTTTTGATAACAATTTCATTATTACAACAATAAATAAATATAAAATATAAATTAATGTGCTTTTTGATTTATCGAATGACATTATATTGTTGATATACTCTATTGTTGTCAACTTGAATAAAAATTATTGTGTTCCCGTGAAAATAGGTACGGAAAAATATGAATTGCTTAAAATATTAATCACGTTTACCGAAAATAACACGAAGTATTTACGCAGTACACTGTGTATTTTACTATATTATGCCATACATTACCGACGATCAGTGGCGCACCCAAGGGGGGGGGCTTTGGGGCTTAAGCCCCCCCCAAAAAATATTTTTTCATTAAATTATACATTAGTATAGAAAATATAGTATAACAATGATAAATGATAATGTTTTATTTTAAAATTTTGTTATTATGTTAGATACACATAATATATACATAATAGTTTAATACTACGCGATAAGGTTTGTGACAATCAATATACCTACTCTACGGTGGCTATCGTCGATTTTTATTTCGTTGAAAATTATTTTTAGATTTATAGATACAATAACGATTACGTACGATCGACTTTGATTGTTAACTACGATAACAATGATAATTATGACTTTCGACTGTCTGTGGCATGAAAATCTCGTTTAGATAATTCAGTCTGTTCGATTTTTTACAAAATTGGTTATTTAAAAATTAGTTTTAATTGTTTACTTGTGTGTAAGGGAAAAAGAAAAATTATTAAGCCCCCCCCAAGCAAAAATTCTGGGTGCGCGCCTGCCGACGACACACAATATTAATAAATACTTAGTAAACTAGTTACTAGTTAGGCTTAATAGTAGAGTTTTGGCATCCGATAGGAATTCCAATGACTGTATACTCTTAAATTTTACGCGTTTACTATTGAATAATAAACAATAATTTATAATGATCGAACGACGATGGTCTCAAACATTCTATATATAGATAAGTACCTATAATATAGTTATTATTAGGTATATACATATTGTATACGGCGTATTATACAGAACCATCATTATCATACGCATAGACACAATATTTAGTATATTATTATTATTTAATAGCTGGCTACGTCATATTGTATTGGTTTATAAAATATATTATGTTATATATTATTGATACCGACCTTGTTGGCTGTGTTCCAGACGTATGTTCTCGGATCCTTCTTTACGCCACGTGATATTAGGCGCAGGTGAACCCGAAGCCGCGCATCTCAGTGACACGTTGCTGCCTTCTCTGATGTTCATGTCCGTGCTCGTCGGATAGTCCAATATGTCCGGAGGAACTGAAAAAAATGAGATTGATTTTTTTTTAAGACAGAATCAAAAAATAAAAATAAGCCAAAGGTTAGACTAGGTAATGATATTCATCCTTGATTTGACCGTAGGATATTTCCGTGATATATTTAATTTAAAAGCAATCGTCGCATCCAAACAATGATTACGAATGAATCTATATGAAAAACCTTGCTTCTTGACATTTCTATAAAAGTCGTCAATGGTTGTGAGTATTTATTTTTTTCTTATTTCTGAGAAACTATTGAACAAATTGAAAAATTACATCGCCCGCAGAATCAATTTCCAACCCCTAAAGGGTGTAATAGTGAAATGTTTTCACCACTCGTAATTCCCAATAATGTATTCAAGGAAAGGTTTAACGAAAAACAAAACAAATACATAAGAAAAGCATAAATATATACTAGGTATTATACTATATATAAATGTTTATTGCTTTACTCTGAATACTTAGTATGGAGTATGGACACTGTCCCACGTGTTGGTAGAACTCCATTTTTCAAAAACGGCTACTCTGGATGAGGGAGCTTGATTTCATATATACAAGATACACATAATATAATATACTACACTATATTATAGTTATAGGTATGGATAGAATACGATGAAGACGGAGAAAGGAATAGTCAACTTTGTAATCCGCTATTACTCTTCAACGCCGGCGGAATAGTGTAAGTGCGTACGGTCCATTGAAACCGTTTATATATCTTTTTTTTTCCAACTTCATGATTCATTAAATCTTTTGTCGCTTTCTCCGCATAGTAATCGCCCTCCAACGCTGTTTTAGAAGAGACCAAATAGCGGTGGAGAGGGGTATGTGTGTGTGTGTGTGTGTGTGTGTGGGAAGGGGTGGAGGAAAAGTTTCGTTGCGAGTGTATAATGATAAACCCTCCAGCGTAGCAACGGTAGCGGTATCAAACTGATAAATCGACTTTGGCGACTTTTTTTCCTTTTTCCTCTCCCCCCACACACTGCCATCCCAACCACCGGGCAAACGTTTACTTTTCTTTCTCCCGCAAACTTGTCACTCAAGAACCCCTTCAGTGGCGCGTATAATTCGATTTTTATTTATATTATATATATAATATGTATAAAACCGCGACGGACTTTTTATCCGATTACTTACGAAACTGAATTCCACCAACTCCTCCACCACAGCCACTACCAGCAATATAGCTTTGTGCTTGCAGTTGGTTTTGTTTCGATTTATTTTTTCTCATTTTTATTTATATTTTATTTTTTGTACCTTTATCCTTTTCACTTTCGAATCAAAAAAGTATTTTGCGTGCGTTAATTGAATACGATATAAACAAAATAAATTTGACGATATTTTAACCGTTATACGTTTTGAACAATAGGTTATATTCGTTATATTCTTGTGTTTTTTAACCTATTTGTTATGAATGAAAATAATTAAATCTCAGTAAATATTTAGAACTTGTTAAAATTGTCATTAATTTACAATGATTTATGCGTACCGATCCAAACATTTTATTTTAAATTCCACGGATATAATATAATTTCGTCTAACATATCATCATAGTTTATATCAGAATATCAAAAATGAATGCGTTCACAAGGATTAACTATAATTAAAAAATTACGAAAACTTAAGACAGTATAAGTTTTTAAACAATATTTTAATATTTATAAAGCAAATATCATATTATATCCATCTAAAAATAATGGAAGATAAATGGTAAAAAAATAAGGTTACCTTGCATTTCACTAAAAAGTATAATATCTATATTAAATGTTAAAAAATAAATGTTCTGTAAACACGTCATAGTATATATGACATCGATACTTACAACGAACAATAAAATTATCTAATGCGAAATAAAATTTTATTCTGCACCTAGGTGGGTTATAACGTATTAAAATGTTACACGGCGTATCGTATAGGCAATATAGGGGCATGTTTAAGACGAAATAATATTATTATATTATTATATAATATATTCATTGTGTATAAGTATAATTATTGTTTTTAAATTTTCAATATTTTATTCAATTGCCATTTTTTTCACAAATTAAGCCTGTTTAAGTTTGGAATGTTTTGCAAGGTAATCTACTGATTTTAAATGGCCATAAAAACAAAGTTGCTATTCCTCGTTGAGTGTTGGTGGTCCTTCAAATATTTAATTGATAGCAAGACCTGTTTCAGTTGCCCAAAAATGAATAATCTAGGAAAATGTTTAACTTACTTACAGAAGTAATGTAATATAATACAACATAATTTTATTGAGCGGTTATAATATTATTATTTTTATCTAATTGTGTGTTACTTTCAATAATATACACTTACCAAATTAAACAATTAACTATATAAATAAATGAAAAAAAATATATAAATTTATATGATTTATATATTAGGTATAATTATATAGGTAAATTTCAGTTTTATACTTTGCATTGCGTAGGTACACTTGTAATTACAATTTTAAACCACTTAAAATGCATTTCTTTAAATTGTATCTTATTTATTTTAACTTAAACAATCTGAAGAGTAATTTAAAAAATATAGAATGTATTATATGTAGTTTTTCTGGTCTACAACATAACAATATATTACATTGGATTTAGAAGCAATATAAAATTTTCTTTTTTTATAGTACATTTTCATAGTATTGTTATAAATTGTAAGTCATTATTAAATTAATTTTAACATTATAAAATAAAATGGTTGCTACTTTATACGATACAATATTTGTAATTGTATGAATATCTTAAGTAAAATAAAATTACAATAAAAAAATATAATATATTTAAAAATGTACACATTTTCCGAACATTAATACAAATAATATTTTTTTTGAACGATACATTTCAGTAAAAACGTCATTATTGTGTAAATTTCAAAAGCTTAATATTACGGTGTGTATTCACATTTCACATTATTATAAAAATATAAATAAGATGGACTTTTGTCTTTTAGCTTCATGTATTTTCAAGGCTTTTTTTTAATAATAAAACGAGAAAGATTTTTATTTTCTTCTTATCTTTAACCATTTTTACTTTTTGCAGCATGGACAAATCAGTGATCTTATGAGAAAATATATTTTTAATTTAAATTCAAAAGATAAAATAATTTTTATTCATGGAAAATGGAATAAAATTTTATTTCGAATCGTAATTGTTTTAATTTGAATGTATGCGATCATTAATTTTAGAACATTGAAAAGTGAACTATTATATTACTCCGTAACTTCTGTAGAGGTAAATTTTAAATCTTATGCATTTAATATTAACAATATATATTTTAATTCATGAAAACTTTTTACAAGATTCGATTTTCTTTATTTTTATTTCCAAAATATTTTCTCAGGGAAGTATGATGATAACTATAAACTGTACGTGTAAATATTCAAGGTTAACAATAATTGCGATCAGAGGAAAACCTAACCAATGTGTATAAAAGACAATGCATATAACATCATAATAGCTTCTTTCAATTATAATATGATCTTGAGTAAAAAAAATAAGATAATTATGGTTGTAGAATTGTAAATGAATTGAATGATGTATATTGGGGTACCTTTAATTTGATTCTAAAGTATAAATACATTTCTCAGTAAACGATATTTCTGAGTTGTTGTTAATTACAACAACTAAAATAGTATAGCACAATACAGATCTATCCATCAACTGAATTCCCGTTAGGTTATTAGATTTATATAATTAATAATGTAAGAGTTATTGTAGGAAAATATAAGACTAACTAACTAGGTAAAGATGAACATAATATCTTATTTTTTGACCGTTTTTATAATATCTGTACTCTATATATTGTTAATTACGTTGTAAAATGTGCTTTGGGCGTGATGAGGTGACAATACACATTCTGCCAACCACATTAAATATTAGAGAACTTTATAGTCATCAAATCCAGCGAAACTGAGAAAACTCGTCTAAAATAAATTTTCAAAAACGGTTCACTAGAAAAAAAGTGAGAAAAAGTAGGCCATTTGTTTTGCATGCATGATGCATTACGCGGCCGATTATATGCGTATAATCATCATCATTTTTTTTTTTTTTTTTGAGAGGGACATTGCTAAATTTAGTATCCATATTATTAAAACCTTTGAGACTTTAAGTTATAAATTATAAATTACGCCACTGTAGGGTTGACCTTGACATGTGGTCAGACATTTTCACTCAACCGTGAAATAAAACACGCGTCCATTTGAGGTGGATAAACCACATGCGTCATTAAGACGTGTACTACAGTGCTCAGTACGGTAGCATTGATCTTTCGACAGTCGTCTCTTTGTTAAAAACGTATTGAATTCCGTATCGATGTAATATCACCGTATACTTATAACATACATATATATGTATACGACAAGTGTATTAAAACAAATGCTGTACAGTGAGGCGTATAAAACATACACAGACACATAGATGTACGTAACAATATAAATGACCGTATAGGTCCACTCTACGGCGGCGATGGGACCGACGAAGCGTTATAAATGAATAAACGATACCTCCTCTTGAGTATAGTATGTGTGTGCGTTGGCGTGTGTTCGCGGGTTACAAGTCGTAATTAAGCCACACGGCTGCAGTGCGTAAACTCTCGATGAACTCCTCGATTCCCCCTCCCCCTCTAACCGGTGTATAATGTTATTGTGTCCTGTTCCAGTGAACACACAAACACACACACACACCCACACCTTCGAGTCTCCCAATAAGATGCAAATGAGAGGCATTGTGGTTTTCCGCAAAGAGCCCTCTGACCCATTTAACGGGGACCGTAGCTGTATGCTCGGATGGCAGTTTTGTGGCGGGAGGGGTAGGGAAGGCGGTTGTGGGTGTGAGAAGTGTGTGAATCGGTAACGGTGACCGGGTGGAGGTATAAATATATACAGTGTATATATGTGTGCATAGGCGGCATCCAATATAAGACCCCTCTCGGGTACACGCACGCATATATACCATTACCATAGTCAAAAGCTTGTGGGCCCCCCTAGCAGAGGATACCCATACAGTTGTATATACATACTATAAACGCGTACACACACACATTGTGGGATCGGACCACCGTGGTGGAAGGGTGCATGCGGTTTACGAGGTAGGAGGGAGTGAGGGGACACAGATTGGCTTTTAAGTCCTTTGCTAACGGATAGCGCACGCGGTCCACTGCCGCTGCTAAAGCACTCGTCGCGTTCCATACGCTCCGCCATCGCCGACATCGCTATGGGTATTTCACGAATTTGAAAATAAAAAAATTATATTATCATAGACGTTACATAATATACTATTATCATATAAAAATTGTAACCGGTATTCGGGCGGCAAGCGAGAGCAACAAGTGGGCTACTCCGGTGGCGACGGTGGAACGAGATCGTGTTATAATATTATCATATAATTATAATTATCGTATATAATATTTTATGATTATATTACATCCCTTTAGTAATAACGGGGACGTCAGCGGAAAGCAGACCGGAAGTAATTTTAATAACTATAAGCGTATGCACACCGACGATGAGACGTTATATTAACAGTTTATATATACACACTAAGCTGGGTAACTTCGTTGACGACCGATGGAATGGCGAGACGAACACAGTATAATAAATTACAGTGACGAATCACAGCGATAGCCTTAAAAGTGCCATTTTTGAACACAGAGAGTGACCATACCATCCTATATTATAGCCATCACTCTTAATTCGATAGTATATATATTATAATGTAAATCGTCTAAACACTTTTTTGGATTATGTTAATTTTAATATAAATACAATTACGATAATAATCAGGAAACGAAAAACCCTATTTACTTAGTATATAAACAAGAATATAAATTATAAATATATTAGGTATTGATTGTTCACATACGAGGTGATGATAAACTTACTACTTGTTAAAAAAATATTATTGAAACGTATTTCAAATAAACGTTTTAATAAAAAGTATTTATAAATGAAATTTATTACAATGATTTAAATATATTTAAAAAATACATTAGAGTTAGGTAACTATTTTTTGTATATTTACAACTATTTTATATTATAATGTTTAAATATTTTAAAATGAAATAAAGGCATAGTCAACTCACGCATTTAATTAGTATAGATAAATATATTTTTTATATGTATTTCAGTTAAAAAAATATATATTGAAATACTTAACAAGTCAAATAATCATTAGGTAATCTATATTATATACATTATGTGTGTGTACAGTACTAGGTACATCCGTAGTTCGTACGATATCATATTGCATTGTAGTTGTCGACAAACACTTAAGACAATACCTTATACAAATATAATATATTATAACGCATTTCCAAAAAAAAACCCGAAACAATTGATTTTGTTAATTAATCTCTGATCAAAGGTTTTTGTATTAAATATTATATACCTCACTATGCATCAATCGACAATATTGTAGATCAAATTCCTAAATTTTAAGTAGCATTTGTGGTTTGGAAATTCTACGGTGTTTTAACAAATAAGTATTTATTTTAATTAAAATTATTATAAATGCTTAGCATTCGTTAATTAAATGGATTTTGCTGAAATGTTTCTGTATAGTCGTATGACTATACTCTATACTACCATTTACTTTCAAAATGTGTTGTATATTTATTCGTAACTTTCGGAGCAAAGAGCATAATATAATAATATAACCCTCGGCAGTAAGACTGAGCAGTATTGGATGAAATAAAAGCGAAACGAAATTATTTCAGACGAGAAAGTATATTTTGTAATGCGTAAAACGAGTAGTAAATAAAAACCGTTGGCTGTAAATACGTACTTACGCATATATACAGTTGATCTGGACCCAGCGAAGGTCTATAGGTATACATAACATGGGCATTTTTCTGAAAGCGGTTGTATTACCCGATACCCGATGCTCACCGTTTAGCATCGGCAAAACCGTAAAAAAACGCAAAAACTACATTATACTGTATACAGGGCGTGACAAAATAGATAGGTATCATCACAGTTTAAATGGTTTTTTTCAGTATGCGCGTCTCTTTCGTCTCCAGCTGATGTCTTAGATATCTACTTCTGATTGGTTAACTTTTTTCTATGTTATATAATATTTATGTATATGACTTACAGCTAATAAGAAGTATGGAACTATAATATTGGTGAAGTAATGAGCGGAGGTTGCGTACTAAAAGATCGAGATGATACCTGTCTACTTTGTGTCGTGGTGCAGGGTGATAAATATACAATTTCCTGATACGCTAATTGTCTCATGTAAACATAAATCTCTGACACGTGAAATTTTGATCACCCTATATTATATTGTACATTTGTACATAATATACACGTTGACTATTATTCATTGCGTTTGATATTTAGGGAGGGGGCTGAAGCCCTTCTATAATATTATATTGAATAAGCTTAAACAAATTTAGAAAATGTTTGGGAGGGGGCTTAGCCCCTAGAGCCACTTCCCTAATTGAGCTTATACTACTATTGCACTACTACATTAATACGTGATAAAGTACTACTCACCGACGATATCTAAGAAGCCCAGTTGACTTTTCATCGGATCCGTATTTATCTGACACATGTACCAGCCCTTATCGGACTCTCTCACCTCCTTGATGTGTATGTGCCACGTCCTGTGGTCCGAGTGCGACACGCCGATCCGGTGGTTTTTTGTGATAACGTGGTTATGGATGGTCAGTATGGTCTGTGTGTCCACCCGTAACCAAGCCACCTATAAAAAATATTTAAAAAAGCTCTGTTGAATGGCGTGGAAAAAAAACAAACAAAATACGTCGAACGATCGGTTTGGGGAACAAAACAAAAAAAATCTATTGCACACAACCGATGGCACGACGGGGGTGGAGGTGACACACGCGTGCTGGCGACACCCGATGTATACACACATAATATAATATCTACGTGTATAATGGGTAGGTAGGGGTAAGTCGTCGGAGATATATCGCCTCCGTTCGGTAGCCCGGTGAATAATGCTTATGATGTACTCGTCCCCAACGAGGTTAACCGTCAGCCGAACATTATGCCCACAATAGGCTGTCCCTGATTAATAGCTGCGTATACCTGTGCTTAAGCGCACAACACTTGTTGTAGATCCGTCAAAGAAAGTCTATGGTGGTAAAACAGCGGTGGGTATGTGCTCGCACACAACCACTGCATCGTCGGGGTGGCATTAGTGTGATTTATGTATGCGCGACACCGCCGCAGTGTTGGAGACGACTTTGATTCGTGACAAATCGCAAACGACCCTCGGGACTTATTATTATATTATACATATATATATTATGTATGTGTGGGTGGCTGTGTGTATGTGTGTGAGTGTGCGGGCGTGCTTATATATAAGAGACTCGATGACGATGACGGTGACTATCGAATGGGTTGACGTGTATTATATACCGCGGTTGGCGGTCGTTCGTCTTGGCGAAACGGTGTGCGGAGTGCCTGCCAAAAATAATACGTCCGAGAGAAGGCCGTTTGCGATTGTCGACCGGGACCGGTTTTTCACCGGTAAAGTCGACGCAAATGTCAAAAGAATACATTATAATAATAAGACTAAGATTACATGTGCGGAAACATCACGTCGTAGGTACGATATTATGTTATAAGTATTTAGGCATTGCATATCGTGTTAAACAAACGAAAAAAGTAGGTATATTTTAGATTCTGTACGGAACGAGAAAGCTAGTGGTTTTACAATGGTGTTTATTTATTTTTTTTTTTTATCCCGTACACAAAATTTCAACCGAAGGAGTGCTTCGGTTTCAACATAATATAGTAGGTATCTTATATTTTAGAAAATTGGATCAAGATGGTACTTGAAACAGGTCAGTTTTCGAATTTCTTAATAGTTATTTAATGCCACGGGAAAAACCACCGACAAAGTACGCAAAACATCTAAAAATGGGATTTTCATTTCTAACTCTTTGTATGCCTATCATCATAGAAACGAATAAAAAAATTATAATATTATAATATTAATTCAACTTACAGGCTATAATAAATAATCCTATTAATATTATAAATTCGAAAGTCTGTGACTTTGTTACTCTTTCACCTAAAAACTACTGAATGGATTTTAATGGAACTTTACAATAATATAGCTTATACATCAGAATAACACATAGGCTACAAATCATCACCCTAGGTCAAACCAGTGGATGTGCTCAAACGGGGATTTAGAGATTTACGGTGGAAATTTTTGTTTATAAATGGTTGCCATGGGTTTTAAAACTATTATAAACTATTATTGGTTGCCGGGAAATAAGTGTATTCATTCAATGCATTTAACTTTTTTGTACGCTGTGTTATGTATCACAATTACGTAAATATTGAGAGTATTATACTCACATATAAGTTACATACATGGTACATAAAACAATCACGATGCCACGTGTTCGTGGACGAGGAGGAAATATTGGTCGACAGACTCAACATTCACAATTGGTCCAACCGTTTAGGAGGAGTTCAGTAACATACTTGGTATAACTTGGATACTTTAGAGTTAAATCATAAACTTACGTACAAACAGCAAGGGGTCGCCGATCTATCCCAGGTAAATTGCCTACCTGATAATATACTGCTGCGAATCAGAATTTTTATCTCAGGCAACGGAAAAGTTAAGATAAATTTTGAACACCATACACCGAATATTAAAAAACGAATTGAACAAAGTTTAATTCATATAGAGTTGGTACATTTAAGGGGAAACGAAGTGCATGGGATCAGCTGGTACTGAATATATATTTTAAATATATAACATACTTAAAAATACTTCAACATTTTCAAGAACCCACAAAATAATATTTTGAATTAGATACAACAAAATTACTTAAAATGTTCGTTTAAATATCTTTAATTACGTCCGAATTATTTAAACATAAAATGTACTCAAAAAATAGTAATGTTTACAAATATACAATATTATTATATTTTTATATTTTTTGGTAACAATATGAACTACTTATGATCAACTTTGTTTTAATTTTCCATCCTTGGCTATAAAAAATTAACATTTTATACATTTTTATAATTTTCAAATTTTCATGATTTTGATGAATTTTGTCAAAACTTTAACTTTAAATGCTTGTAAAAAAATAACTTATGAAACATTTTGTATTCAATTTTCAAGCTTTGTATTTCTATGCATTTCTAGTAATAATATAAAATATCCTGACTGACAAACCATCTCCGCTCAGAATCGTCGTTTGCATACATTGATATGATATCATTGAAATCAAATTTAATACAATCCATTATACAGTGACCCACTTGTAACTTACTATACAGCAGAGCGACATCCACTTACCTGCTTTTTTAACTTGTTATTGTTAAAACGTTATCATATTAATCAATTCTAAACACAACAATTTTAATTCTATATATATAAATTATTTTTTTTTGCTTTCATCCTAACTAAAGTGTCGCTAATGGGTGGCTGCTATCCAAAATATTTCGTGTTTTACGTCCGAGTAATTGTTAACTTTTGATTGATTGAATAATTAATTATCGTACGACCTTGTATGTATATTTTTCTGCATCAAATTTGCTTATTGTGCCAATAAGTACAGATTTTAAATTTCATTTAAAAATAAAAAACAAAAACTATATATATTTCTTTAAGTACAATAATTAATCATTAAAGTTTTTATTCAAGAACACGTGCCTGAATTATGTCGAGCCAAAAACTTAAGATTGTTTTACTTTTTAATATTTAAACAGTATATAAAAATTTAAAAACCTCAAATTACATATAGAACTAAAAATAATAAAATTGAATAAATTAATATTAAATAATTGTATAATGATTGAAGTCTCGATAGTAATTATTTTAAAGATGTTATGAATATAACTTGTTAAGTTTCTTGGATTTTTTTTTGCTAGTCTCCGTAAATAATTTTAATATTTTGATTAAAACCAAGTACAAGCTACATGCAATTTAAAGTAATTTCAAACTTTCTCACCTTCAATATTAATTTAGGACTAATCTTAAATTATTATAATTTAAAATATTTTGTTATATAAATTATTGTATCAAATATGATTAGATGTGCATATATAAGAAAAAAAATATTAATAATTACAAATATATACAACAAATGTAAAAATAGGTACCCCGTCAAAAAAGTGTGTTGATAGGGAGCACTGACTATTTTTATTTTTTTATTTCATTATTTTGATGCATATTAGGTAGCTGATATTTGTATAAGATAATGTCCGATTGTTTTGGAAAAAAATATATATACCTATCAGTGGTTACCTATGAGTGTTTTGTATTGTTGGGCGATGATGTAGAAACTATATACGATCACAGACATCTATTTTGGAAAAACTGTTCAAACGAGAAATAAAAACTTTTTGTCAAAACGAACATTATTTGGTACAAAACTGAAAAAGTGTGTTTAATGTTAGTGCGATGGGTCACGTCACCATTACTTCTGCTCTTCCGAACCACCTACTACTCGGACGTATCAACATATTATGCATTAAAATTTAATTAAAACCAACTATATATTAACACATTATTAAAAAAATAATAATAATAATGCATTATATATATATTTTTTTACGATTGTGCCTATATGGCTGTAAATGAATTAAACGCAACTTCGAGAGTATATTATTATTGTTCCAGTGAAAAATTATCTTCGTTATATTATTTTTAATTTTAATATCGTATAATAGGAGACTATGAACACTCTATGGACTACTATTTGAATAAAATAGAGATATACACAAGAGAATGAACTATGAACGTAGTTATTTCATCAGCATAGTAATTTTATAGGTTTGTCAAAACATCTCAGCTATATGACTGAACAAAACAAATAACAATAAATAAATGAAAATTCCAATGTCAAAATATATTGATTAACAACATAAATTGAATAAATATATATATATATGCATTATAATAATTTAGTATATTGACTAATTATTTAAATACGTGTTTATCGCGAAATTTTAGTGACAGTATTAATATTTAATTTCCAATATTTTAGTGCAATACTCCTTTTTTTGTATTGATAGAGCATTAAAGCTGTATAATATTATTTATTTTAGATCGTATATTCTAGTAAATAAAATTTTTCAAAAAATTTAGAATGGGCCTACGCCCTACATTAAGTTTTTTCAATATTAAAGCTAACTTTTAATAACATATTCTTATAGCAAATTAGCATTGCATTTCAATTTACATTTCAACATATGTACCATCAACAATTATAATTTACAAACTTGGGGTATAAATTAAATTTCTGTGGAAAGATGGCTGAAGCTGATATGTACATTTTACAAACTTAGTTTTGCCACTTCATATATTTTCAAATAATGACATATCACACATAATAGAGACATAACATATTAAAAAAGGTAGAAGAAAAATTTTTTACACCACTTGCAATATACGATTTCTAAACTATTTAAATGATATATCAAAAATTAACAAAATGTACATATCAGCTTCTGCCTTCATTTCACAGATTTATAGTTCTATATACTATATATAATATATTAGGTACTTTTATTAAATAATATCATGTCATACATATTTTTGACATCAGCAACCAGATTATTAGCTGACACAATATAATATTATGATTCTTAACTTTGATTTTAAATATTTTTTCACTTATAAACTATGATATATTTATGATACAATAAATAATTGTAATAAAAATTCATAAAACTATATGAGGACATTGATAAATATATTATGTA